TCGTGGTCGATGCTTGGCTTTCTCGTGCTGCGTCACCAAGCCTATACCCTGTCAAACGTCCGCGTCGTTGATCTTCAACGGTTGCTGAAACGGATGTTGGCGCAGAGCTAGAAGGCGACAGATCGGAGCAGGAGTCCCTCAACAGGCTCTGCTTCCTCACATGACGCAAAGTTTTTCGTCGCTGAGGAGCGTTTTCAACGATGGTTGATGTCGTCGACACTATTGAAGATCGTTTCATATCGGAGCTGATGGAAACCTCCGAAGCTGTTGGTCTGCGGGGATAAACCAGCGGGCTTTCCTGCAAGGAAATGGAGCGTAATGATTTGGTTGCCATGGTGGGCGTGACTGGTGAATCCTGAAGAACTTCTTGTTTGTTCCCCTCCCTTTGATGGGTGATTGGCTGTCGCTTTTTCTTTACCATCACATTCCTGCCGAGATTTTGATCCCATTCCTCCTCCACCTCGCTAATCAGACTAGCTTCACCTTCGGCCCATTCCCCATCGAATTTCTGGAACTCTTGTGTTGTCGATTCAAGACCAAGCCCAAGCCCGACAATGTCAGGTTGCTTTCCCTTGGCATCCCCGTTAAGCTGCCTAACGGTGCTCTGGGACGTCTTTGACGAAGGCAATCCATCTTCAGCATCAGACGACTCGGGATTCTCGGGCGCTGTTCTCCACGATTCGGTCCTCGAGGCTATCGTTATCTTTGACGGCAACCGTTCAGAGATTGGTGGGCGAGGCTTGACTTGACGAGCTGCAGGTCCTGGCGGACTTTGATCTGGCGTCAAGTTTGGGGTCGGTGGCGTCTGCTGGTTAGGAGGTGTTACGGGCTGTTGAGAATCAACCGTCTCTGTACTTTCGGCCGGACTCGACGCGCCATTCGGACCGGGGCGAACATCCGCAGGATGAGCCGCTGAAGAGGTTCTCGAATTTGCCGGGGGCGTTGGTGGAGGTTCTGGATTTCTTGCTCTCCTCCTTGTCGACCTCCTCGATCCCGAACGCTGCAGGTCGTTGACACTCGTCACATCTTTTTGTGGATGTGGCAGAAGCTTGTGCTTTTTGAACATGCGCGGGTGGTTTTTTATGCGATCAGGGTCTGAACCGAATGCATATTCGACCTTGGTAGCGCCCATGACGGGCATGATGAGCCCCTTGGGCGCAAGATCGCCGCCGTCTGCCGTCATTTATCGTTGGGCCGATGAATGAGAATTTGCGTTGACCATTCTTTCAGTTTTTTGTTTGGGGTTACAGATGACAGATTTGATGATACGTTTCACAGGAAAGGAAAATAAAATAAGAAAAGTTGCGGCCGGATCGCAATCGCAGTTGAAGTTGCAGGTTGCAGTTGCAGTTTGAGAAGGACAGAGAGGACAGAACACAACATCGACAGGTGGCGGGTTGTTGCTTGGATTGAATGTGAACTTGGTCGGGTTTCCTCAAGTTGCGCAGGGCGCAGGTGGCATGTCTGCTTCAGTCGGCATCCAATCACCTTACTGCGTATCCTGGCAGCGCATGCGCATCGACATCGTGAGTTAAAATTGGTGGGTAAGGCGACAGCAGTGGAGAGAGAGGGAATGGACATGGACATGTGGTTTGAGGAACCTGCTTCTTGTTACACCCTGCTGCACCTGCACTTCTGCACCTCCAAAATAGGCAGAGAGGGGCTGGGGATGGAGACACATGTGTGTGTGCCCCTCCCCCCCCCCCCTGTCCTTCCTTTCAGTGACAATTCATTACGGACGAAGCTTTTTTGTGAGTGCTTCCATGTTCCAGGTCCTCGCCAAGTCTCACTCTTGGGGACTCCACCAAGACCTCACTTCTTCCTTCTTTTCTTTTCATCTCTTTTTTTGTTTTCTCCCAAAGACAGAACCCGCACGAGCACTGAACAAAGCGAACCACTAACGATTCTGTTCTTGCCGGTACACTGCATTTCTCCTGCAGCATGCTCAAATGATGCTTTATCGAATCAGCTTTCGAGTTTGGGTTTCTCTGGCGGTTCTAGCGGGCCGCAGAAGGATTGAGACGAATCACACGCCGTCCTGCCTGCTTATTGATCTGTGACCTCACCAAGTGAGACAGGGGGTCATCTTTTTTTGCCATCGTTGGGGCTGGGTCGCCATTGTATTTGACGCAAGCAAACGCAGGGTCGAACCGTTGTTCGAAACGACTGGGGGATTCGTGGCATTTTCTCTCTCGAAGTCAATGCATTTTATGCTTGTTATATATCTGACGTGTCGAGGATATCGGATCCAACCGTCCCCGAGTACTCTTTTCGAGAACAAAGGGGTTTGTTGGCATCTATTTCTTACATGTCAGCAGTTATCGCCTATTTGACCAACATAGCTGGTGGTCATTGATACCACACAGTATGGTTGGTGTAAGTTGCCACCAGACATGAGAAGTGGTGGGGGGAGAATCATGATCATTTACCGTCCGGTGTAACACACTTTTCACACATTTTCAAACTTGGCTCGAAACAATTAGATAGAATCCCTCTTTGCTTGCCAAGTGCGTGCTTATTATGGTTGTCTGGCACTCTGGTTGTATGATGAAGTCGCTGTCGCAAGGCTTTATTAATTTGTGAATAGCATCATTATCTCTTGGAATCACACTGACCCGATTGAGTCCCAATTATTTGGCTCATTCATGCATATGCAAGAATATCTGCATGAAAAAGGAGTGAAATTGGGGGTCAAGAGTAACTTCCTACTTATCAACATGTAATGGAATCAAAAAGATGGTATAGAGTCTACCAAAGAAAGTCCTATCTCCCCGACCAATACCACTCCGGTTTCTTACATGTTGCCCCGCTCCGGGCGTCAATGTTATTCGCAACTCGTCTTCGTGCCCCGCATCATCGGCATCGATCACATACAGCTTGCAGCTTCTTGGAGATATCATTAGTGGTCCGAATTATTCCAACTCCCGAGAACGTGGGATTCGACAAAACGTTCGTCATTGACAGTATCTGAAGCCATCATGTCATTGGATCAAGTCGTATGCAGTGTCCCAGTTTGAAGGAGACTCTGCTTTATCTAGCTGGATGCGATGGGAACAGCCAACAGTCGATGAGAAGACCGTTACATAAAAAGAACCATTGACGTGAACAATCCAATCCGAGGGAGGGATCTCATCTCGATCAACCATTTGTCGATAAGGAGTTTCCAGAGACCTTTTTTCTATTCTCTTCAAGCTACTGCACAACAGCCTGGGATGGGACGAGCGGCATAAAATGAGGGAATTTCCCTCATCTAAAGAGATTCTTCTCACATCCATTCAGATACTCTCTTCTTAAGCACATAGTTTAATTACAATGGCATTTAGAAACCTGATCGCACTCTCGCTGGTAGCTGCAGCTTCGGCTCATGGCAATCATGACCAAAAGACCTTGGCTGGCCCGCACGAGTCTCTCTGGTACAACACATTACCAGGTGATGGAGGCACCCAGGTAAGACAGCAATGCTTTTGTTTAAGTCCTCCCGAGACTAACAACGACAGGCCGACTCGGTCTTCTCCGGAATCTCAACCTTTGGTCGTCTTCCTTATCTTCCCTGCCTCTCACACAAAGACATCAACTACGACATTGCCTTCATCGGTTCGTACTTGTTCGCCCTCTGTCATACACGTCCCTCTGACAAGGTTTAATTAGGTGCACCCTTTGACACGGGCACCTCATACCGTCCTGGTGCGAGGTTCGGCCCCTCCGGTATTCGTCAAGGTTCGAGACGTCTGAATCTTTAGTGCGTTGCCTCCGATCTTGAGCAATTCTTCTTCTACTAACCTCCCTCAGTGGAGGATACAATGTACCTCTTGACACCAATCCCTTCAACAGCTGGGCCAAAGTAATCGATTGCGGCGACATACCCGTCACTTCCTACGACAACACATATGCCCTTCGGCAGATTGAAGAAGGACACTACAGCATTCTCTCCCGCAAACCCAAGACAGACGCAGACAAACCTGGACCTTCTATCAGGAAAACCACCCTTCCCCGTGTCATCACTCTGGGAGGTGACCACACCATCACGCTCCCTCTCCTTCGATCCATTAACCGCGCCTACGGTCCTGTCACTGTCATTCACTTTGACTCTCACCTCGACACATGTAACTTACCCATCCCTCTTTATATCTCATCACTCCTACTAACCCTTTATATACAGGGCGACCAAAAGTCTTTGGCGGCTCCCCATCCGAAGTAGCATCCATCAACCACGGCACCTACTTCTACCACGCCTCCCAAGAAGGTCTCTTAAGAAACGACACCAACATTCACGCCGGCATCCGTACCACCCTCTCCGGTCCAAGCGACTACGAGAACGACGGCTACTGCGGTTTTGAAATTGTCGAAGCACGTGAGATTGATGTGATTGGAACCGAAGGTATCATCAAGAAGATCAAGGAGAGAGTAGGAGAGAAGAACCCTGTTTATCTGAGCTTGGATATTGATACTCTTGATCCCGCATTTGCTCCTGCGACTGGCACGCCCGAGACTGGTGGGTGGTCGACCAGAGAGTTGAGGACTATTCTTAGAGGATTGGAGGGGATTAATCTCGTTGCTGCTGATATTGTTGAGGTTGCTGTGAGTTTTTCTATTTCCCCGCCTGACACACTGGGAAACTTTGCTTACTGAAGGTTTTTTACAGCCAGCCTACGACACAAATGCCGAACACACAACCATGGCTGCTGCCGATGCGTTGTATGAGATTATGAGCATTATGGTTAAGAAGGGGTTCGTCCTTTTTTTTTTTTTTTTTTTTTTACACTCTGTCCATTCTCATCCTCAACACTGACCAATTGTTTCACAGTCCTCTCAGTGGCCTCGAGATTGAACCCGCCAAGGAGACCAACCCAGGTGACCTTTGAGTAACCAACGATGACTCGGTCGGGGGGGCCGGGGGTTGGGGGCGGGGCCAGCCGTCACTGACAAAGCACATCTAGCAATATAATCCTAATTCTTGACACCAACATACATCAACTTGAATATCTTGTTCAGGATTTCAAGGGCCCGTGGTCTAGTGGTATGATTCTCGCTTAGGGTCCACCCTAAACACCTTCCTGCGAGAGGCCCCGGGTTCGAGTCCCGGCGGGCCCCAATTCTTTATTTTTTTCTGTATTTTTATTTAATTGTGTGGATGGTGGTGGGGTAGATATGTGTGGAGTTTTTTATTTCGTGGGTTCGGATGTGGAGATAGCTTCATGTTAGTTTCGGTCGATAAAAAGGGGTTTTTGTTGATTGTTTTGTGTACATAGTTGTGTGTGCGAACGAAAACCCAAAAAATGTACCGGTCCAATCACGTTTTAAAAAGGAAAGTTAGAATTAACTTGTTGACGACCGCGGGTAATAAGAAGATGAGGAGAGTGTCAGTGGGAATCCGTTCTTGGCCATAGCCTGTTGAGCAACAAGGACATGATCATGTTTTTTGATACAATTGATGAAATGAAATGCCACTTTTTCACACGCATATCCATAAAGAACGAACTATTGTTGATGTTTAAAAATCATCATTTGGGGGTATTCTTGACCAAACTTCCCTTCTTGTGTGCTTCGCTATAATATACAAGTAAACTCCCAAACAGAAAACCAATCAAAACAAGCAAAATTGCTTTCTTTCCTTCCTCTTCTCCTCAGAGGCATGCGAGCATGAAATCCCATATACACACACTCGTTGCCTAAACTCCCCCAACCTTATTTCTTTTTCGAAGACGCCTCAAAAAGACCGCCCAGACATTATCCTTCCATTCCCTTTCCTTAATAATCATTCTCATGACCATCCCTTTGTTGTCTCCATTTCCCCCCCTCCAACCTTTCTTTGTGAACAAATTACTCCAGGATGATAAGTAAAAAAAAACGAGGACGAATCCAGACAAAACCCCCAAACGCCGGTTTTTTTAATGCATATGAATGTTCAAAGAACCAAATTTCCCCTCCCCAAATTTTCTTTCCCTTAATTGAAACGTTGAATGTCCCAAAAAAAATCGGTTTACTTGTTTCCCCAATTGAAAACAAAAAAACACCTGCGCTGATAGTAGTAGTAGTAGTAGTAGTAGTGTTTCCTCGCAATAATCAACTATGCCGCTTCTGCTGCAATATTTCCTAACAGGTACCCAAGAAGCTGTTTTTGATGCTTTTTTGATGCTTCTTGTCCATAGTATTATCGTTTCTATGTCCCCGTGATATGCGCCGCATCGTGCTGTTGTATGTACGGTGATGACTGTCCGGTTATGTACACAAAAGATTTGAGTAAGAGTAAAGTAAAAAATGACCTCCAGCAGAAAAAGAAGACAAAAACTTTGTGGGGATCTAGAGCTCGCGGTAATCGCTAGGCCGGATTCGACGTTGCCGGTTCTGATGGCGATGAGGATTGACCGGCTTGCGGAAGTAGGCATCTTCTTCGTCTCCTCCTTGGGGCATAAAGTTCGTTTGGGGATGCATAGGCATTGCCATCTGCTGGGGTGGAACTTGCTGCTGTGGCGGCATTGGAGGCTGGTGGCGTGGTTGCTGTGGTCGCTGCTGAGGGCCAGGAAATCCCATGGGACCATTGTTCATAGGACCGTTGTTCATGGAACCGTTGTTCATTGGACCATTGTTCAAATGACCGCCATGCATTCTGCCCATGTTTGGTCCTCCTCCGTTCATATTCATGTCGTTACCTCCCCACATGCCGTTGCCGTTAGGGGGCATACCGCCGCCGAAGTTGTTGCCGTTCATACCGTTCATACCGTTCATGCCGTTAATGCTGTTCATTGGTGGGAAACCGCCCATTCCTCCCATCATAGGATTCATCATGGGGTTCATCATGTTCATGTTCATGTTGGGCATGTTGGGCATGTTGGGCATACCCATACCACCAAAGTTTCCCATCATCGGCATACCGGGAAACATCATGTTGGGCATCCCCATTCCTGGCATTCCATTCATCATGCCGTTCATACCATTCATCATACCATTCATCATGGTTGGGTGTTGGGGGCCATGATTCTTCTGCATAGCTTTTGGTGCCTTGGGGATCTTGGGATTCTCGAGAGCTTCCTCGGCAGGACGCTTCTTGGAAACTTGAGCAGCGTCACCGCTGACTGGTGTTGCGTTGCCGCTACCTATAGAAGGATTTGGTGTTGCAGTTTGGTTCGCTGGAGCTGTTGCGGGTGCAGCTTGCCCGGGAGATGGCGACTTTGACTTAACATTCGAAGCCTCAACGCTCGAATCTGCACCAGTGGGCACAGGTGACTTTGCTGTTGAGGGGCTTTTTGAGCCCTCCTTGGCCTTACTATCCTTGTCGGCAAGGAATTTCTTAATCTTTTCGACTGCCTCGTCATCTACCTTGAGATCATCAATCAAGACAGCGTCGTTCTTGCAGGCTGGACAGACGAAATCGCTCTCAATGAGAGCATTAGTGATGCAGTCATTGCAATACGTCTTTCCGCAACACGGGGTCTTCATTGGCTCTATGAACATTTTTTTGTCGATGGGGCATTCCAAGCCTTGCTCCTGGACCGCCTTATCTTCAGCCGAGGCCTCCTTGACTGCATTTGACTTGGCCTTGGCTTGAAACTGTTCCCAAGACGCTTTGTCAGGTTCAGCAATCACGAACTCTCCATCAGCATTGACCATGATTCCAGACGGCGCCTTTGAGTCATCACCGTCGGCGTTCTGACCCAGGGCCGTTGCCTTGTCCACCGTCTTCAAGAATGATTTCGGAATTCCGGTAGTGCGCTTCACTCGTGGTCGGTTATCGTATTCGGGGTTGTCATTCGTTGGGCAGAGTTGGATCCAGTGCCCCTTCTCACCGCAGCGGTAGCAGATGTATCCCTGGGGTGGTTCGTGGTCTGGGACGTTGGCTGGCTTCTTGGGACCACCTTTGTGGACATACTGCTGGGTGGACATTTCTTCTTCTCTGGATGTGAAGTGCTCTGTCTGGGCCGCAAACACTGCAGCCATCTTCTCCTCTTCCGTCATGGCGCTGCTCAACTTGGCCAACGTGTTTGATTGTGTCTTAGCCGTTGTCTTTGGCGCCTGTTCTCGTCGAGATGAGTTTTTTGCATGGACGGGCATCTTTCCGGAGACGTAGCGAGCAGCGCCGCCTCTTCCGGGGATCTTTGGTGGCATGCGCTGGGCAACAACCGTGGTTGATCGTGGGATGATGGTAGTATCATCATCGTATACTGTATTCTTATTAGAGTCTGAATTGTCTTGTAGAAGTTATATCAAGGAATGCTCACCTTCTTTTGATGCATCATCGGCGTAGATGACAAGTTCAAAGTCAGTTCCATCACCGAGTCCGCTGCGCAAAATAATTTCACGTTTCAACTCGAAGACAGAGATACCCGTTCCATCGAACTCCACCCGGGTAGGCTCCTTCGAGGACTTGAACTTGAAAAAGACTGACGAGGCCATGGTGATGGTATTGGTCGAATATTAATCTCGCTACGTTGGTGCAACTGGGTGCACCGAGTGATACCAACACCAAATCAAGTGTGAAAAGGGAGATGCTGTATTATTAGGAAAGGGAAAACGAACGGTTATTGCCGTCGAGATAGTGTCTCTGCTTCTCAAACCTGCACAACGTAAATGGGGTAGAGCACCGAGTACTTCTTTTCTTGAATTCTCCCCTAAGACAGGTGATGAAGCGCGTGTTCTCTCTTGTTTTTTCTTTTTTCCTCAGACCCAAAGGGTAGATGGGAATCAATTCTGATTTTTCTCGAATGAGACAGAAACAGTTTTTGAATGGAGGTTAACAGAATAAAAAAAAAAGGAAAAGTACAAAGACCCTTGCGCGAAAAATCGGCAGTCTATTCAATTGAATCTCAAAAGAATAGCAGCTGAATCGCTACAATTTCCTCCCAAATAATACCAACGCCTCCACTTGCCAGCGACAATTTTGACACTCTTTGTCAGCCAGAAGCCAGAAAGAAAAAAGAAACGAAAATCAAGATTCCGCGATGGATACCGTGAAGACTTGATGACAAGGATGCGCGACGGGCGACGAGTTCCTGTGATCGAAAAATGGTTAGGATTTTGGGGGTGGTCGTCTGACGTGTCGTGTCTCTTTCTCCAAATGATCGCTGGGAGAAAATAGGCAGGCGGCTTTGTTCGATTTCTGAGGCGGGGATTCTTGACGCAACGCGACCGATGAAAGAAGAATGAAAATCTGGATTCGCGGCTATTGCCGAAACCTAGAGAAATAAATCGTCAACTGCTTCGCGATGGGCTATTGCGATCGGTTTCACTGTCGCAGATTGGGGGGGTGCAAGACTGGTGAGGTCGTTGCAGCATGAAAAAAGGAAAATGAAGGGCGCAGAGTTGGTTTGGTTGGTCAAGGACACTCGGTTATTAAGGTTGGTCTGGGCAAAAGTTTGGTGACTAATGCGGGTCCAGGGAAATGTTCCGCCCGTTCCATTGGTGCCTTGTATTTGAGGCATAAATAACGTTTTGGGGAAAGCCCACTGTCCCACCAGCCCCAGATCGTGACGACTTGAATCAATATCAAGGGCATTGAGTTTGGAATATTCGAAAACACGATGTATAAGAATAAGAATCTCTATCTTTGGTAAATATGAAATCAACGGCTCATAATTTGTAGATTACCGTGCCATTGAATCATTTTCTGGTTGGAATATGCAGGTATATTGAAACCGTTACACCGTGAGCTGTTACTGGTTAATGTCCTTCCGCTGTAACCGTTGATCGTGTGATAATGATGCTCGGCTCGAAAGGCTTCGATGAGTTCCATGGCATGGGCCACTAAAAGGGCAGGAAAGCACTTTGGGAATGAGCCGATGATCATCGTCAGAGTTGCGTTCGCTGCATTTCTGTGTTCCCGTCCCCCTCACTGACAGTTGGCCACATTTTTCATTTTCTTTTCCAATCATATTTGGGTTGATATCCAGGCTTCCCCTCTTTTCTCTTCGGTTGATAAATCTCCATCAGCACACTCCCATTTTTTCAGCGACCGAGACGATTACCGAGCCAAGCACTTTTCACCCCGGGAGCTAAAAAGGCTTCTTCGACAACTTATAAACTACAAGGCTCGAAACTTTTTGGAGTGCTCAAGACTTCGAATCTAAAAATCAAATGTCAAACTCGCTCCCCCAAAC